CCAAAATTAATTTTTACAACGTCAAAGTTCATCTTGACAAAGTCAATATTTCCCTATATATACAGCAAGGAGCACTGATGATGATTCATTCGGAATCGAAATATGGCCTTATTTGCAGCATGAATTCGAAAAATAAGTTTATTTGAATTTTAATAAACTAAACGTTCACCAAAAAACTTTAGTGAGAAAAATCGAAAAAATGAACTACAAACATATTAACGCCAAACATTCGGTAGAATTTATAGAATATTGTAAAAATTATGGTCTATTACCAACATTTTTACATATATACATACATATATACATACATATATGTATATGTATGTATTTATATGTATATGTATGTGTGTATATATATTTGTATAGTTAAGTACTATATTCTCAGGTGATATGATAATATGAATAGTTTATTTTTTGGTATTAATAATAATTATCAAAATTATTATTATTATCATTATTTGAGAAATGAATAAAAAGTTATTTAATTGAAAATTTGTATTTCCTATTTGTCCATACAACTGAAATTAGTTGTAACTGGTATCTTGAATGGGCCAGCCGAATGGTTATCAATTTCTGTTACTATAGTTCGATTTACGTCCTACCTCGGGGAACCGGGTCTATGGACGCAAAACGAAGATTGATTGATTGATTTCTATAGTTCGATTTATCTTTGAACTGATATTTTGATATATATCATTGATAATTGATATATCTCGAGATATAGCTGGTGGTTCCCTACTGAATTTAGGTAGTACTTAACTTCCTGAATATAAAAATGTAGGATTTGGTGTAAAAAAAAACCCGACGTCTTTGGTATATGGTTTATTAGATGTATCTTTGATGTATAGTATCTTTGATGTATCTTTGATGTATAGTATCACATGTATAGTATCTTTGATGTGTAGTATCTTGTAACGACCGAATACTTATATAATGAGTGTATGGTATCTTGTATAGTTATGTAGTTATACAATGTATGACTGAATACGCTTTATTTTTGGAATGAAATGCTTATGGTAGCAAATTAGGCAGGTTGTATTTTACTAGATTCAAGTAGAGACGAATCTAGAGGAGCCATGGTTCTCTGTTGTGGTTAGCAATCTCTTTTTTTAAAAAAAACTCAAATCAACAAAAGTTGACGTATGAACCAAAAAAAGATCACCAGCCTAATTAGGCTAAATTTTCACCTAATTAGGCTAGTTCACCAGCCTAATTTTAGCCAATTAGTAGGAATTTAGTTAGTTTCTTGGCCGCCCGTCAAATTAATTACAAAATTTAAACATTTTCAAAATTTTGGCTCACCCCCGCCATCCTAGTAGTAGTGGTATTTGTAGTGGTTGTAGTAATAATTGCAGAAGTAGTAGTAATAGTAGCTGTAGTAGTTGTGCGTGCGTTTGTGCGTGAGTGAGAGTGTGTGTATCGATTTAATGAAATTTTTACATACACTCGTAGATGACATGAGGTAGTGAACAATAGAGCCAGGCTGGTTGATCCTGTGCTCAGAAACACGTGTCTGTATGTATTGGAGACTTGTGAGAGAGACTCTCTCACCATTCTCTACTTGATGACGGATGGTGAGAGAGAAAGGAGAGAGAGAGGAGAGAGAGAATATAAAAAATTATGCCGAAAAACAAAATATATTGCGAATTAATTCCAATGAAAACTATTGAAATAGAAGATCAGTAGCAGAAAGCTGTGGGAGGAGTGGCAAACA